CAAAGTGTTCCTTTTTTTTCCCCCCTAAACAAGAGACTAATTATCCAGGTCAAAGAAATATTTAGAGATCAGCCCTTTGCAGCTGAGGAAGTACATGGTAAGATCCAAAGTAAGCAATTCAGATTTTGGAAGCATTTTATGAACTATGTTCTGAACCACTTATGTAGTCTAGCTGAATTTTTTATGCTGTGCCTTTTAAACAATCAAAATCAGAGCAGCAGAATTCATGTATGTTTAACATTCATGAGAGTAAAATAATAAAATCAAAAATATGACATAGTAATGTAAATGTTTACTATTTAACACAGAATTCTGAAGCAAGAATTCCAGACAGCTGTAGCTTTATTCACAGGACTGATAAATTGTGTTGTATTATAATTTAGTATTCACAAAGAAAGTCAAGAGCATTTGTTTTCAATTTTGTTCTAAACAGTGAATGACAATGTGACATTGTAGTGGTTATGAGGAAAGCCTATTTGACAGATGGCTTTTTCATTCCATGAAACGAATAACAATAATAAAAAAAATCCCTGATGACACTTCTCTAATTTAAGTGAGGAAAAAAAACAATGAAGAATGCACTACAGATTATTCACAAACTAGCTTCAAACGTCTAGCACTTTTAACTGCATTGAGTAGCCCACTGATTGAAATTGGAATGCCCTGAAAGTAAACAAGTGGAATGAAGCTCATTATTGTAAGAAATGTTTGGCATTTCTTGACTTAGTAGGTCAAGAAATACAAAAAATATCCTTTTAACATAACATTAATTATTATTTCCAGGGCAATCACTAACACTTATTTCCTGCAACCTATGCAGAGAGCAAAAAATCTATGTGTTACCATAGCCATTTTATTAGACTAAAAAAAATAATTATTGGATCTACACAAATATCACTGGACCTGGATTAATTTTGGCTTCCATCTTCTACTGAAAAGAGCCAGAGATAAAGACTTGTGCAGACAACAAAATAAATCTGTACTTAGTGCATGGAGTTTTTCATTGACCTGTTTTGTACCTTTGATCATCTGCGTTCAGAAACAATGAATAAGTATAAAAAATGGGCACAGAATGCTTTCAGAAGGTTAATTTTGCTCTGTCCTCACTTGAAATACATATGATGTATCAGCATAAGAAGAATTAAAACACATCCATTTTTGATGAGACTATATTTGGTAACACTTCTCCTTACTTGTTAATTACCTTATTTGTAATAATATGAATCACAGTAAGACTTTTGTTGAAGTTTAAGAATTTTGAAAAGAACTATGTAAACTTGGATTATTTATATATACATACACATACATATACATGTCAAGATACAGTTTATTGAAGTTTAAACAGAAGATACCCTAACTAAGCAGAAATGTCTAAATACTGTTTGAAATCCATAATGACCTTAATTATAATTTCCTCTCTGGGTAGATTAAAAAAGCATCAATCAAAAAAAAACCAACAGAGATTATTCTGTCTGGATTCCCCTGTAGTACTTCTCCCCTAAAAACCATTCTTGAGTGGCGACTCAAAGTGCAACACAACATGTTGCATTATCACCTATGCTATCTCCCTTTTCCTGTTCTGTCTGCCATAACAATCTGATCCATATCCTGGTAAGTAATATTATTTAGGTTTTATTACAGATGCAAAACTAGATGCAAACTGCAACACAGCCATTTTCCAGTAATAGAAAATCATTATTTTATCAGCCCTCATCCAGGTCAATACTTCTGTTTGGACTACTTACTTGTATATTTATTCATTAATGTGAACAAACTCTCCAGATAACGAGTAGCTCCAAACTCAGATGGCCAGTCTCAATAAACAGAAGTGTCACAAAGATTTGCTGTGTCATGCATTGATAGACTCTAACTGGAGACAGAACACTTAGATGCTATCTGTTGATATTCATAAATGCTCAGGAAATTTATGGACAGGAGGCTCAGACAGATGTAAACCAGCATGGTCACAAATATTATCGCCATACGAAAGCGAGATCAAAATGTACACATGTTCAAAACCACAGAAAGATACTTTCATTGAAATAGTGGCTTTTTATACTATCTTTTATGCTGGGCTTTTTATACTACCATTTATGTCGGTGACATGGACAGTGGGACTGAGTGCACCCTCAGCAGGTTTGACAATGACACCAAGCTGTGTGGTGCAGTCAACACACTGGACGGAAGGGATGCCATCCAGAGGGACCTGGATAGTCTTGAGAGGTGGGCCTGTGAGAACCTCGTGAAATTCAACAAGGCCAAGTGCAAGGTCCTGCACGTGGGTCAGGGCAATCCCAAGCACAAATACAGGCTGGGTGAAGAACAGATTGAGAGCAGCCGTGAGGAGGACTTGGGGGTGCTGGCTGATGAGAAACTCAACATGACCTGGCAGTGTGCACTTGCAGCCCAGAAGGCCAACTGCATCCTGGGCTGCATCAAAAGAAACATGGCCAGCAGGTCAAGGGAGGTGATTCTGCCCCTCTGCTCTGCTCTAGTTAGACCGCACCTGGAGTCCTGTGTCCAGCTCTGGAGCCCTCAGCACTTTCATTTGGGTGTTTAGTCCATATCAGTTGTTTACCTGTGAACACTCCGTTTGCAACAACACATACAAATGCAAAACTCATAAAACCTGACAGTTCATATTTTCCCCCACTTGAAGTGTTTAAAAAAGATTGATTTTTCTTTAAACATTCCGTTCAACTACAGCATATTGTATTACTAAGTCAGACTCATGTATACAACAGATTCTCCAGTAGTATCTTCTGCTCTCAGCTTGAAACTATGCTACCCACAAAAAACTCTGCATATCCAATTCTTTTATCCATTTTAAGTCTATATTAAAAATAATGAACTGTGAACAACGCCGTTATATGGCATTTATGCCTGATGAGGTTAATTGTTAGATGTCTTTCCTGTTTATTGTTGATCCTCAGCAAGCGTATTATGTCTTGTCAGCAGTACTTAAGATTTTTTTCTGTATTTTAACTGCAGAACATTTGGTCCAAGAAAGAACTTATTTCTGAAACAATGAACATGTGCTATATGAGCCTGAAGAAAGACAGATAAATGATAAATTTTAAAAACTGAGAATTTTGAGTTGTCCGATAAATTTTAAAAACTTGAATTTTGTGTTGTCCTAATTTAGCTGAGGTCCTTGAAAATTATTTCTCGTTCTCTGTCTTATTACAGCTAGTAACTCATTAAAGTCTCATCCCTGCTTTTTTCTGGAGGAATGGGATGCAGAATTCCTTGCTATGATCTCAGAAGCAACATTTTCTGACTAGGTATGACACTATATATTGTGCTATATAGATAAAAAGGAAAAACATACGACTGATACACTTTCCGGTCACACATTTCTGAAATGAGGCCTCCCAGATATATGCTACAGTGCAACTGTATGCAGATGGTACATTCCTAGTTTTCCTTTGCATATTCATATTAAGAACTTTCATCAACTATGAACTCATTCCCATTTATAAGACTACCATTTTCATGGCAAAAAATCTTAGGCAGGAAATCTTAGGAAGTAAGTTTCATCAGTGTGGCCTAAATAAACAAAATTATTTCCAAATCCCCAGTTTCTCTATAGAAACTAAACAGCAAACACCACCACAGTGGAAAAATAAAGTGACTGATTTTTATAATAATGTTAGGAAAGTACATCTTTAAATGAATATATAGATTATTTAAATATATCTGAATAAAGTCACTGAGAGTCACTCATCTTCTGAAGGACTAGTTCTGTCAGGTTAAAAAGAAACTAGCTAATAAGGACATTTAATTTTGCATGTAAAGAAAAAGAAAGTTACTTCTCTTATTTCTTTGATTTTCTTTCTGTGGCTTGATTTTGTCACATCCAGTGCTACCCTGTAACATTTTTGGCGTATTTGACTCCCATATTTTTGGGTAGAAGGATAAACAAACCCAGTAGGAACTGAGGGGTTAGAAGATTATACTGGTAACTGCCTGTGTTGAAAATTACTCAGATTAACAGTGTAACAGAAAGATATACATAATGCTCCTCATTCTTGATAAGGATGTCATTTAGTTTTTGCACAAAAAAAACCCCCAAAAAACCCAGTCAAAACCAAGAATTAAGAATGAAAACAATCTACATGAGAAATTCAAAGTTCAAGGTAGCAGCTTGTCCTCTTGTTTCCAGAATCTCCTAGATATCAGGGGAAATTGTTAGTACTGGTAGTTTTCTTCTGGACAAGTTCCAAGAGAAATTAAAATGAGACTACAAATTCTCAGAACTTCAATTTAGTTACCATTAATATTCTAACCAAACAAAATCTCTAGGCAGTTACTATTATCTCTATACAGATGAGGCACAGAGATGGAATGGGTGCATCCTACAGAAGCAATTAATTTTTCAAAACTGGGAACTGAACCTAGTTATTGTGAAAATTTAGACCTAAATAAATATTTGTACGTTATACATAGAAAAATCTTACATGCTGTCCTGGTCTGTTACAAAAAGTTTTAGGATGTTACAACACTTATGTGAATTAATCAAGCATTTTTAATAGCATGGTAAGTAAAAAATCTGAGTAGTTGGCTTTTAAGACACTGATTAATCATGTATCAGAAATGCAAGATTTCTCTTGGCCTATGTCAGATCAACACTGCAGCAGGATACTTCTCAGCACAAAGAATATTTCTTGAATTCTACTCAGATCATATATCCAGTTTTGAGAGAGACTGTTTTTTAATTCTGCACTATCATACACCACCACTTTTGCTTGGCATCTGACAGACATTCCCATTCTTGCGTTTACTTCACTTCACTTCCTCAAAGCTGAGGCTGCAAAAACACAGCCAGCAGCTTCATACAGCATTTCATGGAAGACTGCCATTCTAACCTGGCACCTAACTTTATTGTTCTCTCAGAGAAGTTTAAAACTCTGAGACGAATTTAAGCATTTATGCCAACAAAGAAACTGATGAAAAGTATCACCACAGAAGAAGAAACTGAAAACAATGTAAGCCATTACTGAAGTAGCTCTTCTTGTGAAAGCTCTGACGTTCTTTGCTTGCCAGTCACCAGTGCCAGCTCATCCTTCAACTCCTGGATCTCCTTTTTCAGCTGGACAATCATCTACAAACAGCAAGGCATAAACCAAGCATCATCTACAAATGAATAGCTAGTTTATGATTTTTGCATTAGAAGGCTAAATTTCGGGAAACATTATACTTCAGTTTTCTATTTTTTAAACAACATCTGTTTTTTAAAAACAATCCAAATGCCTTAAATACACCAAGCACTTTTTTTTTTTACCCATTTCCATTTATAAAAGCAAGAAAAGTCTTCCAAACTCCGTAAAATCTGTGTTAGAAGACATGGCTGCATAGAAAGAGTTCAAAAGATTATTTCCAAAAGAGAAAAATAATTTGCCTTAGGAATAAAAAAGCTTTCTAACTCATTAGTTTTGCCTGTTCGTAATGAAAAACATTTAAAATAGAACCACTGTCTTTGTTAAAGAAAGGACAGCTTGGACAAGATGATATTTTTTTTTTACCTTCTGTTTAGAAACAGACATTCCAAAACAGTATCTTAGTATTTTAATCTTGACTATTCTTTTTTTCATGTAACATTACACTCTTATTAGAATTATAGCATACTATAGTTGCCGGATATATCAGTTGCTAACAAAGAATGAACAGTACAAATCAACGTAGTGAAATTAAATTGCATTAATGAATAGTAATAATTGAGAAAGTGACTTGGAGAACTCTACTAGATTTTTAAATTCGAATAGCTCATTATTGGAGCCTGTACTTTTGGAAAAACTGTCTGTATAAAACCATATATTACAAATTATTAGCCTCTCAAGGCCAAATTCTACAAAGCAGGGACAATATGCAAATCCTTAAGTCTAAAACATGAATGAGCAAATTCTTCGCTACTTTATGATAGCTCATTTTAATGATGCATTGCCTTAAATGTCTCAAATGTATCAGAAGTCCAATGATATTTTTAGATCGATATGAGCACACTGATTCCATGTGGAAAATAAGTTTCCAAGACACGACTGTTTTCAAGGAAAATTAATCATTCTTGATTGCATGCACTTTCTAGAAATAAGATTGTTGAAATTGATGACACATTTTCACTGGATATTAAAATTCCTTCAAACATTTGTATTTCTTTTAATATTTAAAAATAACCATGACTTTCTTAACTTTGAATGGGTATTTTCTCTTTAAAAATCAAAACATTCTAAACATACATATGATTATTTCTTTCAACTCTAAACTTACTGGTAATACATTTGTTGTTATAAAGTATGAAAGACTAACTTACAATATTTTATTTAAGAATCTATTAAGGTGGTGAATTGTCAATTACAGACGTTGCAAGAGTGCTTCAAGAATATTGCAGGCCAAACATTTTAACCTCACTTTAGGTTGCCTCAATCTGGTGCCACACTCTGCTGTAGTCTGTGCCAACTACTGAGTCAATAAAATAAAATTTGGGGCTGGAGTATAAAAATGCAAAAAGCTGCACTGATAGCATCATCCCTGTTAAATGTTCAAATTTGCTAGCATGATTAACCTCAATGTGACAGCAAAAGAAATGGTATTTTCAGGATATGGATAAAAGATAGATTTTAAAGCGTTATTAAGAGAAATAAAAATCCACAGAAGCATAATATTTTAATTTTTGTTTTTAAATGAATGCCAGAGGAGATTAGATTTAATTCAGGCTCAATAGTTTCATTTTCAGTTTAAACCAAATCCTTTGGTCTTGAGTGAGCGAGGTTCAAAGCTGAAGCTTAAAGCTCCTTAAAAAGTACAATGGGTACAAATTCATTTTCTTAGTGAGATACACTGTCGGGTTATTCTCCATTATGAAGAATGAAGTTTACACAATAGTCAGACTTAACTCTGATCTATCAAGAGGTATTATGCGCTCCCTTTAAAAAGCATGCAGTCAACTTACGGATGATAAAAATTGCAAATAAATGGCTTTTGATTTTATGAAAAAAATCGTAAGTCCAGCACTTTACTGAATAATCACATTGCACCCTAGGAATATCCTTTAGGCAGTTAAGATGGGCAACAAATTCCACAATGAGCACAGAGTCATAGAAAGTCTAGGTACCTCTGTTCCCCTGCCTTTTCCATAAGAGGGGAGTCTTGTGGGAATTCTCATGAGTCCCCTTTTGCTTTACTTCCTAAATGATCCTGCAGAGCGAGACATATCAAACTCTGTGGAATATAGCTCCACAGGATGTAGTAAATGTTCAGGAGCCTGCATATGTTCCACCTCAGTCAAAGGCTTCTGGGGCCACGGAAGAAATGTTTTGCATGATTTAGTACTATAAAGCTACATAGGAAAGAGAAAAGGACAGACAGACAGAAATGAAGATGTTGTTCAGTGCCTACTGGGTTTCTTTTTGGTATTTTATTTTTTGGATGTTCTTTTTTCTGTGTGTGTTGCTGTTAGTGTTAGAAATTATTTGTAAAGAAAAATATATAAAATAATAATAAAAAGAAGAAAACCAGCAGAAAACCTGATGAGAATCGCCTATCCCCTTTGAACTTCAAGGACAAGAGAAAATAAAAGCACAATCACTAACAGAAACTGAAATATGTTAATTATGGTCAAGCAACGATGAATGAAAAAAATCAGCCATGTAATCCTCCATGTTTTAGACAATAAATGCTTCTTATGTTCTATAATCTAGCATTCTGCAGCCCAGCATTCAAGAGGAAAGCATTTCGTAGCCAGTTCAGGAGTCGTATGAGCCTTTGAACTTCAAGGACAAGAGAAAATAAAAGCACAATCACTAACAGAAACTGAAATATGTTAATTATGGTCAAGCAACGATGAATGAAAAAAATCAGCCATGTAATCCTCCATGTTTTAGACAATAAATGCTTCTTATGTTCTATAATCTAGCATTCTGCAGCCCAGCATTCAAGAGGAAAGCATTTCGTAGCCAGTTCAGGAAGTCGTATGAGAACAAAATACGTAAAACTTGTAATTACAAATCAGTCATGAGAAATTTAGAAATACAGTAATAATTTTTCTTATTAAAAAGAATGATGATGTGATTAGTATATCATAAAACATACAGAATCACTGATATTAGAATATTTCATTCATGTTTTATATTCTTTATAGGTAAAAAGCTACAGTTCAAATTTATAATTTTGTTGTTTAAAACTATGTTTTAAATCTTGTCTGCTTATATAAGAACAGAATAATATAATAGCTTAACCTTAACTTATTTTTCATCTCCTCTGTCAGAGAGACAGGGGTATGCTGAAATGCATCCATAGTTCTTCTTCATTACATCCATATATGCAGCTTTGGCATGACCAATGTAACCTCAGTCCAACAGTTCCCATATCAGAAAACATCTTTGATATACAGCATGCATCCCAGCTGATCCAGTAGTTCTCATTATCTGCAATACTATGCTGAATTAATCAATCCTTAATAGGTGTACTTAATATTTACAAAGAAAAGAAATTTTCGAGGTAATGCAGAAAATTACTTTAAATAAACTAACAAAGGCCTCTTAATATAGTAAAACTTCTATTACAGAGCACATCTTCAAACAAATCTGGTATGTAACAAGCTAGAGGCATATAAGTTCTTTCAAAGGAAAGGCTAACCAAATACTAAGAAGAAAAAATAAAGTACATTTTTGTTATGCACATTAAAAGAAGAAACTTGTTTTGTTTATGTGAGAACACTTTATGCTTTACCAATGTGGATTATTGCCTCTGTCCTTCTCTGCACTTCCTAAATCCCGGATCCATTCTGCATAGCTCCTCTGCTGCTCTTTTGGATGTGAACATCAGCCTAATGCTTTAGTGTGGAAATCCTATTTCTATATCTCATTTACTTGTCTTTCTTTTTTCCTAATGATAGCTGTACACAGTTCTTTCTTCCCAGCTAAAATGTTCCTTGGACCAATCTTAAGGAAGGACTGTATCTGTATGCTCCTTAGCTTTTAATATACAAACTGTTTCAGCGCAGCAGCGTTCTTTCATCAAGTAATTAACAATCTTAGTAGATTTTTAAAGAGTTCTAGGGACATTCAGTTATCTGTGACTATGATTTAGAAACTAACACCCTAAAAGAAGGAATACAAAGACAATAATGAAAGTGACCATTGCCCCTCAGATGCCCTAAGAGCTGACAAAGCCTTTAGGGGTTTTATAAAGGTCCATTTAATTATAATTATATTCAAAAGAAAAAAAAATAGTAGTTATTTTACAGAAAAAAAATGGAAATTGCATGTAAAAACAATTTAATGGAATGATTCAGTATAAAATCCTCAACATCATTTGACCGCTATTAATTATTGAGACATAAAACAAGAAACCTCCTCCCCTCTGCCCCTAGTCAACTCTCACCAATCTGGGGTCAATTTCTTCATTAAGAACTGCTTCATTCTTAATAAGAGCAACTCTCTGTGCAAATCTGCAGGTTGCTATAGATTCCTGCAGAGGAAAAAAAAAAAAAGAAAAGAAAGAGAGAAAAAAGTCAGTTAGCTTTGCACCAGGTAAGTAGAACAGATCACTAATGCAGTCATTGAACTAAGTTTCTAGTTTTTGTATATTTCACAGAACTATTCTACAATTTCATATGCCAGAAGAACAATATTCAAAGGAAATTAGGTTAGCATATTAATAACAGTGGCATACAAAACTGTCAAATCATACTAGATATTTTATTGACCTAGTCAGCCCCTTGATCAACTGTATTTTAAATGAGTCTCTGGTTGGCACTAAAGGACAAGAAAACCACACTATTCAGAAGGTAAAAACTTTTGAATGACGAGAAAAGGAGAAATTTAACTAAAACCATTTTTTTTGGTGAAAATGAGTCTAGAGAAGCATGTGTAAAAGAAGATAGGAAAAGAGATGAAGGGAAGAAGAGTGGAAGTCCAGGGCAAATGAGAAACAAACTGGAAGACTTAGAACTAGGAGGCATACAAGAGAACTATGATACCAGATAAAAAACTGTCAGATGAGCTAAGGTGAAGTGGAAGAGGACAGGAAGGTAGGAAAAAACGAAAAAAGAAGATACAAGACTGATGTTGTGAAGGAAACTCTAGGACAACCAGTGCACGCTCGGAGCCAGGGCACAGAATGAAATCGAGGATCCCTAAGCATTTTTCCATCCTTTAAGATCAGCCACTACTTATGTGCCAAGACCGTACTAGAGAACTTATCTACCTAATGAATAAAAAGCCAGTAATTGCTCTCAGTTATCTCAAAGAATAAAACATCATACAGTAGACTTAGAAGTTCTAATGATGCTTGATAAACTGTATAGTAAAATTTTCTGAGATGTGCCGGTCTACATTTAAAATGTAAGAATTTACACATAATCCCTACATTAAGAAAACTTTACTACTGCTACAGACTTGTATTTGAAAATCAAAGTAATTCTGCACTTTTCAGTCCTCCAACATATGAAAATACCAATTTAAACAGATTATCATATATTCCTTTTTCCACAAGAATTCTGCCTCTTTCAGTGCTTGGAGGGGTGGTATCTGAATTAGGGTTACATGATGAAAGATTCTAGTGTTTATTGCCAAAGACATAATATATACACACAGAATCAAAGAACAGTTTTCGAGGAAAGAAAAGGAAGGCCTTATAACTAAGAGAGCTGCACATAGCCTTAGCTGGACTCTCTTTTCCTTCACTGTACAGTTCCTGTGCTATGATGATCAGCTAATGTGATTTTAATTAAGTTCTATTCACATATTAAGTACAATTCTATGTACAGGACACATGTATACATTTCCACCAGACATCTTTTCCCTGTTCAGTGTGAAGCATATGTTAAATTAATGAGTAGCTAATCAGTTCATTCAATATTCAATATGTAAGTTTACTATATATTTATTCAATGTCATTAGTAGCTGACAGCTACTAATTTCCTAATACTTTTTTCTGTCATGCTTATTGTTACAGTAGCTGAGGACTTCACAAAAATTAATCAATTAACCCTCTAGGTATTGCTTTGCTGCAAGTAGGTGGAATGACTACACTTAACAGAAGGGAAATTGAACTCAAACATACCAAAAAAACGATATTTGATTTTGTTCAAAACAGTTTCCATTCAACTTCAGTTACAGCTATAATAATCAAATATATCTACACTTCTGAATTTAAATCTTTCAAGCACTCCACAAAACTAGCACATAAAATGTGATGCAGATGATGCTAGAATTTTTATACTAACTCTTTGGTAGAAGTAGGAATATTATCTAGTTCTCTAGGATCACATTCTATTTGTCCTCTTCATGAGTGTCCTTTCTTACTTTGAATTCTCTGCTTCATTGCTTTCATTACAAGAGACAGAGCTAGGTCCTTAAGAAAGCTGCTTTTATTATACAACTTCAATTCATCTGGGAGGCAATTCAATCTTGTGCTTCCTTGTGAATGAAATGTATATCCAACGGACAAAAAACAAAACAGCAAACCATAACTGTGCATAATGACTCACAGAATTCCAAATTGAAATTATGAAGCTATCCTAATTCTGACATTTTCTAATATTCAGTAATTGACCTAATCTCTGTTCTAATATTTCTTGAATGTATCAGATTTTAGGGAGCAGGGAAGGGACTTCTTTATTTATATTTGGAGAATAAGGTGTGTTGTGTAGATGGTACATGCTAAAGCAAGAACATGAAAACTGTCAGTAGCCTAGCCTGGATGATTGCTTGGGCTAAATATTCCCAAAATAGAAACCCAGATCGCAATGTGAGATACACGCACCTGATAACTGATATATGAAAGGGTGCCTAACCCACACGTCTAAAAAAGAAGTCATTAACAAACTTATTCAGTTGCATTTGGAACCAGACATCATGTTTGTATAACTACATGTTTACAAGTATGAAAAATCTGTTTTCATTTAACCACAAAGTCCATTTTCTAAAGAAAAAAAATTCTTCAACTACATGAAGTACTTTTTTAGTATAATGCTTTCCACTGTATTTTAGAAAACAGTCTTAGGCTTAATAGTTTTTTTTTTCTTGTTTATTCACATTAGAACCCTTTGATGTTATGGAAAATCAGGAAACAAATACATTATAAATGCCTTTGAGAAGGATTCCATGTATTCAGATCGTAACATGTTTTGGTAAACAAAAAGAAGAAAATATCACTATACATAATTCCAGTGCAGGAAAATGGTGAAGGGAGATAAAAGTATTTGAAAAAATTCCAAGAAACCCAAATCACCCCACCCAACTCCCTCTCCCCCACAGTGAACTCTCTAGTTGTGTACCATACTCAATGAAATCTCGACTCCAAAGAAGTCTACAGAAGTTCTGCCAAAACTTTCAGTATGATCCATAATCTACTTACAGATCTTACCAGCTTGTCCTGTGGAACATTCCTTGGGGATGTCTTTTCATAACTCAAAGATTTATTCATCAGGAAAACAGTAAATATAGAAAAAAAATAAAAAGTAGTTCGTCATTAGGTGCAAGTTGTTTCCCAACTGCTCCTTGACTTGAGATCTCTTAGAGAAAATCACATTTCCTAAAGGATTTGTCTACATCTAACTGCAGTTTCCACTGATAAAAATATCTTCTGAAAACAAAGTTTAAAAGGTTTTTTTTGTAAGGATAAGAATAAAAGCATACACACTTGAATTGCAAACTGCAATACAAGTTAAAAGAGCAGGATCTTTAGAGAAGTGAAAACATTTTTTGTTGAAAATAGGTGGAAGTAACTTACATCTATGTTTCTTTTGTCGATAGAGAGTGTTGCTATCATGGTAGTCATGCAGTTTCCTCCCAGACTGTCTCTTAGCACTGAGGTCATCATAGAGTTTCGGTAAGGAATGTGGGACCGGTTTTTCTCTGCAAGGGCAATTATTACCTGAAACAGCAGTAAAAATGGAAAAGACTTTTAAATTTACGTGTCTATTAATGATTGACAAAGAAAGAGAACAAAACCAATCTGCTCAGGAACCTAAACTTCTGAGACAACAAAACTATGCTCATGCACACAGTTAGATGCAAACCCACTGATTTTACTGAAAGCCTTTCAACTTAAATTTCAGTGTGTTTATATGCCCTTGTAGGAACTGGACCTGAAAGATCAAATAAACTTAGTTTTGTCATACCCTAGCTTTACAGCCTCTCAACAATGTGGAAACTGAACACAATAAACTAAAAATCACAGAGTTTCCTAACACATAGGAACTTACTCAAAATCTTCCTCGTATTTTTTCTATCATAATAATAAAGTGTTAATTGTATTCAAGTAGAAAACTCTTTAATATTTGCTGAAGTATGCTTTTAAAATTACACATTCTTAAAGCACATAGTTCTTAGAGGGGTCAATACATTTATTACTGAGAAAATGCCTTGAAAAGTAAAACACAAATAAAAGGGTGCATAATTACAATGTACTGCTGGAAAGAAATACTTCAGTGTAGTACACATATGCCTTGGCCAAAAAGGAAATGGTACACCTACTATTCTCAGTTTCCCTTCTCAGCTGTTTACATTATGGGACCTAATTAATATTAAATAAAAAGCCAGATTACCCCATGATCTGTTGTGATATAAAAGATTTGAATTTTTAACTGGCCAAGCACTGTACTGAAAAGCTGTAGTTATCTGAGTTGTGCAAGCTATCCTAAATGCCTAGGACTTGTTTTTCATTTAATAAATGTTACACACCAGCACGTATTTTGTTTCTGCTGCACTTAAGAAAACTGCTATTTTAGAAAATTTAGTAGCAACTTTTTTGTTGGCACTAGTTTCTCTTAATGGTCTTTAGAATGTTAAAATTTCTTATTACTATAAATCTCTCACAGGTAGCCCTGAGAAGGATGAATGCGTAATAGGAAAATTAGTCTTGAAAGGAATCTGGAAACCCATTCCTGGATCGAGGTTTTCAAATCTCGTATGTTACTAACTTGTTAGATGGAAATAAGTTATGTCTCTGTTACTTTATAATATTGCAGAGAAACCTCATAGTAGTCTAGCGTATACCTTGATAAGCAGACTCCCAGTCTCTGCCACACAGAGACTACAATCTGAACAGACAAGATGGGAGAAGAGCCAGAGGGAAGATATGTTATTTCCATTAGAAATGGGAACTGTGTAGCAAAGAAGTTGATTTTTTTTCTGAAGCTCATGCAGGAAGTCCAGGTAGAATTTGAACCGTCCCGCACTAGCACTGAAAAGCTATGAGACCAGCTCTCATGATGCAGAAGCCACTGTACTGTCACATGACAAAGTCACATAACACAGAAGATGATGGCTTTAAGTCCCTTTAGATGGCTTTAGTGCCTCACTTAAATCACTAAATCAATCTTTACAATCCAGTGATGAAATCTGGAATAGAAAGAGGAGAAATGTGACAGACAGGGAAATTACGCTCTTTCACAACGTGACAGAGACCACTTGCACAGGATCTGAACCTGGATCTTCTAACAGCCAACCAATTGTGACAATCAGAAAACTGGCTCATTTTTACATGATCAAAAAGAAGCTGTTCTTATCCTTTTGATATAAAAAAAAGTTTTTGGATTTGTTTCTTTTTAAATACTGGTAGGTCTAAGCTTAAAAGGCCTTAATAATATTCCTGAACTAGGACTGTAATATGCTGATTTAAATCAACATAACCTAAGGCAGAAAGTTTCATTTTGACTGGGTGAAAAAAACACACTTTAAGACCTAATTTTTCAAATGTGGAAGCTGTCAGAAATGTTGTCACTTATTGTAAAATTGCATCCTATATGAAACATAATAGCATAGAAAAGGTACAGTCACTCACAAATGACTGCACTGAAACAATTGGAAATATTGTAAAGTATAAAGGAAGGCCTGAGACTCAGAAGTGGTTAAGATACGATCTGAAGTGTTCCCAAGAGTCGCTGTTCCTGTCCATATCCTTTGTGCAAGCAGCAACTTCATATACGGAACAGATTTGCACCAGTACCTCATGTCAACAGGCAACCAGGACATGCTCTCAGCCCATCCTCAGGAGATGAGGATTTCGTGGTGCGTCACTTGCAGGTACAGAGCTATCAGCTACTCCTATATCTTGCAGTGCATCACATGCTCTGAAGCCATGTGTCTGCTCCAGAGGTCTCCTTTTTTCTCCTGTCCATCCACAGTCACAAGACTTCTGACATTGCCTTTGATCCATATGCAGAATCCTTCCAGATTCCTGCCCACACCTTCCCACTCCTCAGATTTCTGTCAGTGAAGTCTCCGATCCCACCTAGTAATGTTTATCAGCTCTGGCCCTCGCAGCAAAAATTCCAAACTCTGCTGCTGGTGTCTTGTGGATAATTACAAGCATTCTTACTCTTTGGACAACATACGCTTGTCTCAAGTAAACACTACAGGTCTTGCTGCAAATAATTCACCCTAAACCTCGGGATTTGCTAATCAACACCAAATTCTTTCACTTTAAATTATTAAAAAGTTCTTGTTTTTTCTGTTTCACTAATGTCTGTATATGTTCATTAGGAAACAACAAAACCAGAAAATCACGTTTTCTATAGGACGTGAAAAAATCTAGCATTTGATGGCTGGCAGTGATTTCAAATTCTATTAGCAAAAACTTCAGTAAATATGGGTAGCGTCATCTACTAACAAGTAAAATTTTTCAGCATTCCCTAAATGGAGCATGTGTTCAATGACACTTAACAGACATCTTCATCAAAGCAGTGTGAACATTATAGTCTATTATTCTGGGGAAACACATATAGTTCCAATTCCACTGTAGTGTCAAATCATATGGCTGTATCACTATTAATCTGCAACTCTAAATATGGTCCAGGATACACTATCTGAAGGAAATATCTACACACACCAAAAAAAATGCGATTATAATTCCAGAATATGCTACTACACCTTATGGACAACAAAAACTACCCAAATGTGGTAGCAGGGACTTTTAAGAGCACCTCTGTATCAAATTGCTGTGGACACTAAAACTGAATTGTCCCTACTGCCATCGTAGATCAGCTGCACGACACTATCTCACCCTCATTTTGCTCTGGACATACAGGCTACTCAGAGAAGAAGTGCAATTGATGAAGATTTCTTAGCACCTTTTGGATATTTAATGAGTAGACCAAGTGTGTTATCACAGATCTGTGTTTCCATTGTCATCTAGACACAAACAATTTTAGATGACTATTTTATTATGCAAGGTGTTTAGAAATGGTATAACCCAACACTAACAGACCAGTAGACAAGTGAGTAATTGAGTATGGAAATAAGATAATTTTGAGGAGTCCTTGTACTTTAATATTAGTCACTGCAAGGTCAGGATTGAATGGCTCAGTTCCCACTGAATAAAAAGTTATTTTTTACTGTCTTCATTGGTATTTTGTTCAGTATTAGAAAACATTTTTGTTATCGATATGCAATCCCAGGCAGAACCCAAGGTGCTTATCTCTAACCGTATTTATTCTAAAACAAGAGTTTAAAGTTGCAGGACAAAATATTAATATATTACGCTTCTACAGCACTTCAAGCCTGAGTATCTCAAGACACAATACACAGAAAATTAAATTCAACCTCGTAAAAGCTCATACAATATTGTATTACAAATGCATAAAAATCGTACAGTAAGAAGGATCCTGAGCACAATTTGTACAATTCTGAAGAGGTCTGTTTTAGAACCACTTACCCTTATCGCTCCCCATGAGTAGAACTGAAATTCAAGCATTATGCTTAAATGTAAAATTTAAACAAATTTGGGGAATGAATAAAATTCAGTGTAAAAGTAAATGACTGACTGCCACCTGCTGTGCCTTAAATTTCTTCTCTTGACAGATGAAATCGCTGATTAGATTAAACGAAATCTAAGACATTTGTTCTTCTTAAGAGAAAAACACACAGAACAAAAATGAAAATATTCTTCCCAGTAAGTAGAACAATATTTCCTAACCTTAAAGAATTTTCACAGACACCCACAAAATTTTCAGTTTTAATGGATTTCCTCTTTAAACTGTAAACAGGCTAAACCTCTTTCAGTAACACCAGGTGAACGACAAAGATTTGTGGAGATTTATTACTATTATTACAATTGCAAATAGGAGTCCTACTGGTATAAAACCAATTATGGTATTTACTCCATACACATGAGACAGGAGTTAACTTTGTTAAAAGAGATCAGAGACTCACATTGAGAGAGGAATCAAACAACAAATGAGAGAGGAGCCTAATGTTTTAAAATAAGGCAATAATTGAACCAAATAAAAATAAAATACTTTAGTTCAATGATTCTTGAGTGATACATCCTGATCCCAGCTCTGGAATGGGGTGAAGATGACAAAGAAAATTTTTAGCAGAAACTCAGCTGTAATCTTGTAAATATCTTCAGTCGTTCAAATAAAGCAAGAAAGTTATTTTTGAAACACTACCCTGTATACCTACTATAGCCTTACCATTTAATTGTTAAGTTTTTCCTAAATTAAAATATTTTATTTCAAATTAAGACCTACTAATTCAAGCATTTTAAAAAACTGCACTAAATACACAGTCCTAAGACTAACTGAATATTGGAATCAAGATTTCCAAAACATTGCACATTGCTAAACAGGAATGTAGCACAGGAAGAAATGTTTCACACTATTTCAATTTTACCTGTTCCAAATAATGTAATGATAGGTTGATATATTTGGCTTCTGTCAACAAGTGACCTCCAACTCCAGTCTTTGCAACACGCTCTGATCCAGCAAGGTCTACTAAGTGTAACTTGGAGCGTCGAATAGTTGCAGATCCAGGTTCCTTGCTGGAGATGTGAATAGTGAAAATGCAGTGAGAGCGGGTTGAGGCTTGATTCATTGGAGTCTACAATGAAAAGAAAAGAGGAGCCCTCAATGTACGTATAATAAATAAATTTAGCTTTTTATAGCTCAATAACCTGGAAACTGAAATCACCTATCCTTCTTTTAGCTGTTACACCTGTAATATATACGCAAGCAGAACCCAGAAGGTTTTACCTGGCACTCGCATTCTGGCCAAATACTGGCATAAATTTAATCTGGACAAACCGTACTTCAAGCAAGCAACTATCCCCAGTTGCAAGAGGCTCTAACAGTGAGTAGATCAGCAAAGCAGCTGCCTTTATTGTGCTGAGGAATACTGCTAGCAAAGGGCACCTTGGTCAGAGGGACAATTACTAATTCCTGATCTCCAACAGTTTACCAATTTCCCCATTGGTAAGCCCATTTTTAGGGTGGTTTTTTTTTTTTTTTTAACTAGATAGCTATCAGAACAATCAAGGTTAGAACTTTCTATAAGGCTTTAGACTTTCAGAGCTTCATTACCTTTATGAAAAAAATTAACTTGGCAAAATCAGTATCAGAATTTTATATGGCATAACAGAGTTTTCATAAAAGGTTTGGCTTTAAATATATGTATTTGAAATATCTACTGCCATACTTCCTTAACTAGACACATGGAAATTCTTGGTCAATTTTTAGAGATGCTCAGCTTTAATATGACTTTAGCGGTGTTCCAAATATATTTGAAATGCAGAACAGAAAATTTTAAACGGCTCTCAGATATTCAGTTTTAGATTTGAAACGACCATATGTAATCACACGTGCTACTTTCTTTTCTTAAACAACATATAAAAAAAACTTTAAGCATCAAAAGGCTCTTTTGCTTAGTTATATCATGCTTGTTTTGGATACTTAAAGAAAAAGAATGCCTTATTATTTTATAAATAGCTAAAGCTTTAGAATACATATGGGAGATTAAAGATTTAGCATACAAATAGCATTTTTATTTATAAACTATTACAAGTATGTTCTCAGTGCATAAATACTTGACTTTCAGAAAAATAAGGTAGTGAAATAAAGTAATAAATAAATATTATTTAGTAACTAAATCTATACTTATTTATAGTTGTTTAAAAAGAAGATTAAAAAAATCCTGGTTAAATTGTATACGTTAACGTCTTGTCTATAATTTATTCTTCTGCTATTTGAAAGTAATTATTTATCTAGACATACCCGGTGATTCAGACTAGATATACTAACATATTGCTCTTTTTCTCCATAGTCTGCTGTTGTATGAAACATTCTAGATGTTAAAATAGCCTGCCTATTGCAGTTGTTGAAGGTGTCATCTTCTTAATCCAGAAAGTATGGCTCTCAGCAGAAAGACTGCAAGTAGAACATTCATGTACAAGGAATAATATCAACAGCTATACCTCTAGGTTAAATTGTCTCCCCTTCAATTTTCCAGTATTTTTTTCCAGCTTTAATAGTGCCAGCACAACTGAACTGGTTTTTGGAAATGATCCAGAATAAAAAAAGAGAGCAAGAAAACCAAACCTCTGCAAACCATAGATATTTAACCTGGATCAGTTTCTTGAATCAGTCACAGCACAGCTGTAGAAAGCAGTTCTGCTATAATAACTGAAAATGGCAGCATACAGTGTGTGAACAAGCAGTCAGTGTGCAAGAATAGCATACGCTAGTAGCTGTTGGTGAAAATTCTGTAATTAAATAGTGCTAAGGCTTTAATTTCATTTTGGGCTGTCTTACCTAATAAAGCCAAGCTCAGAGCGAGAGGGAGAAGAGTTTTGATTATTTAGTTTGTACAGATGAGGAATTTTGGAACAATATAGGCAAGCCATTGGCTCTGCTTAACTGCCTGGTTTCTAACCATTGTTTCACAACCCTGTGAAATAAGCATCAGAGCGCAGTCACTTGATATGCTGTATTCAGAGGTAAAGCTGAACAAATTAAGGGGCAGTGACTTGTAGCATGGGAATGAAAATAAACAGGCTCAGGGAAAGGTATAGGCCTGTCAAGCTTTGAAAAGCAAGAAAATACTCCTAAACATCTTTAAAATGCAATTACACCAAGAAAGAGTTATATGCTGTTAAAATCTACTTTATTCAGCAATTCTGACTCCATGAATAATCAGAGCCAGCTTCACTTATTTTACTAGGAGAGCTATGATTTTACTACTTGCAGCTCTGTGAAGCACAACTGGATATTTTATTTTTCCAGCTCAAAATCCACAACAGAATTAATATTTAAGGACACTCTCCTGAACAGAATTGATATTTGAGGACATTTTGCACTACAGTGGTGGTATCGGTCATAATATACTGCAAACAAGTCTAAGCCAGATAGAATATCAATCCAGATCTAGCTATGGAAGCATAAAGCAGAGGTTGCTATGAAAGAAGCAGAAGAAATCTGCATACTTCAGAATAAACATTCTTAAGCAAACATAAGTTTCATTATGCAGCAAAACCTCATGTATTTGAAAATGTGCTTTTCGTCACACCTGTTTAACTCCGAAAAAGGAAAAAAAAAAAATGAAAAGCATAAAAGCATTTCAGGGCTCTTGAGTTCCAAAAGCTCAGGGCAATATTTGACTGATGAGGTCTTTATTGTCTATAGCAATTCACCAGCCACAACTTCTTTTTTCATGTTCCAAGCAGATTCTGTTGGACTGGTCATCAGAAATTACTTTGCTTTTCTCTCTACAATGTATTTTTTCATGTAAAAGGAGTGCAGCTGATTTGGAAGTCATTGGCTAGAATCCTAAACTTCATAAAAAGTCTTTCTTCAGAGCAGAACCATGCTTTAATCAATACACCAATACTCCTTTTTACAATACGATTCTGTCTTCACTTTGTAGTTCCCATATATAGAAAGCTCTATTGGAACTCTTGCAGGAAGCATAAGGCAATAAAAGTTTAAATTTTTATATGGGATGTAAATGTGAAATGCTAATTGCAGTCATAATCCCCCACACTTTGCTACTTTTACCACACAAGTAGAGACAAAGCACACAGCAACAGAAATAACAACAGCATCTTCAGTCCAAAAATAAGCTGCTTTTATTTTTTTTCTATCTTACATATGTAACTTCTGAATATCACCATTCAGCTGTTCAGAAAGTTTGTAAACTGAAATCAAACAAACAAACAAAATTTTCTGGACAGTGACTCAGAGCTTACTAAAAGGTTCCTTCAGTGGCTTTCCGAGTTCATTTTGGCTTTGTTAGCAGCATTCAAACCATATGTATATGAAATCATCCTCACACTAATTTGATGTGTTGAAGGGAAAAAAGAAAGAGGGAAGTGGCCTGGCTCTCAGCAGATGGTTGCTATTGTGAAGGTTATATATAGAACAACTGATGAGCTGCAGTTACTTACAAAGAAATAATTTTTTCCAGGAATTTTGTGACATCATAAACCACATAAGCAGACTTCAGATGCTTTGTGATATCATGTGAACACTACAAAGGAACTAATGCCAGGTCATCTGTTGCTGCCCATTTGTAGCATGGTAAAAGAGGAATTCAATAATATACCTTTCAAGATCATGTTTTGGTAAGGCATCAGTGTTTTATTTGATGTTCGAAAATATATACAAAAGAAATTAAAAGCCATAAAACCCAGCCTCCTTTTTCTCCAGGACCAGAATATACCTGTGTTTGCTGACATTAAATAAACTATATAGAAGCTTTGTGACTTAAACCATTACAGCTATTCAAACAACTGTTGCAAGAAGTTGGTTTCTACTTAAATGAGAACCTGCAGCACAGCCATATTGACAGAAACATGCAAATTGGATGCTTCTTGCAAGGAATACAAGCTCATGAAAGGTCCAGAAACTTGCTGGAGCCTAAGTTATTCACTTTAAGCTAGTTGTTACCTGTCTTAAAGCAACAAAACACTGTAGGAGTTCCTCTCCATACAAGAATTTATGTATTTCCAAAATCCTTTATTTGTTGCAGCTGCTATTATAAATGTTGTTTTCTCTAAGAAGAATAGCCAGAAACAGGATGCTACTGCTTTAAACAGAGATCTTATTAACTGAGGACCTGAGAAGGAGAAAGTTTCTTAAATAGGAGAACATGTGAAAGGCTGCTTGAAAATCATCATTAGACCAGCAGAAGCTGCTACTATCTGGATGAATAACATGTTGATTATGGCTGCCAAATACTCTTAGTGAAAATAGAGAAAAGAGTTCAGGACAGCTGGGACAAAAAGATTTCACAGGTGATAAATGCAGTCCTTCAGCCCATATTGCAGACCACCTCCACTTGGCAGTTTATACAGTTCCAGTGGAATCTCTGCTTCTTTGAATCAAAATAGTCAGACATCAGAAGAATGTGATTTTCTTCTATGAGTGAATTAGCGACTAGCCAAGGTATAAATGAAGAAAAGCTGATTCTGAATGCTCCAAATTTTGAGAGAATGTCTCAGTGAAAAGGTACAAAATTTTGTTTGAAGGAGGGTTTCTTTTTCCTCTTAATTTTTTTTCACTTTTGAAATTTTTGAAGAAGGGCAAGAGAAAAGAGAAAAGCGCTGATGGCATCCAAGGCACATATCGGATTGATTTTCTTCAATCTCAGGCTACAATCAGATGGATACCTTTATGAAGAAGTTCTGACAGCTTTAGTCATTTCACAGTTCAGATGGTAAGAAAAGAGCCATTGTGTCCTACAAGAATGATAACAAAGCAATTTAACACAGACTGTTTCTCTGGTTGAAATTCATCCTTAGAATACTCTGGTGTTTTCACATCATAGGTTTATAGCACAGAACATAAGTCTCTAAGGCTGAAGGAACACAGATTCTTTGGTGAAAAACCGTGAATGTACCTGTCTAACTAATATAAACTTCACCTGCTCCTACAGAACCATACTATATTGCACGGTCTGTAAACTGAAGAAAAGGAGGTTCCTGCCTTTGTATCTGGTAGATGAGCAAGACGTTAATACATCTTCAGTTTTCTTTCTGATTAATATGGTACAACTGAAGGCGCTCTTCAGGTGTACTTAGGTACACTTGACACAGCTGTAATTGCAGATTTATTGCAATGAAAATATAAGGATCAGAATAGTTGCAATCTGATATTTCCCCGATTTCTAAAATACTTTACCTTTCCATATTTGTTACAAGCACAGTTTCACGGTTAGACCATGGTAACTGAGGTAACTTTAAAAATAATAAATATTCCCTGGGGAGAATATTATTAAACTTTATGTTATACAATGCCTTTGATCCATATAAAACCCAAAGCACTTTAAGGACTATTCAAAGTAGTATGTATGACTGCTGATTGTTTTACCACACAAGGAAATGAAAGCACCTGTGCTGAAATGATGATGCCATTTGGTGTTAATGATACTACAGAACTGGTTTGTCAGAGCGGAAAGAAATTAACAATCAACCCCAATGAGGAACCTAGGAAAGTAGAAAGTTGTAATTAATTCTGCAATGTAGCTCTAACATGTCTTCTTGGCAAAAGCATCATTTAATTTCATACATTCACACATTCAAATCCTATTTTTCATATTTCATCCAAGAAAAAATGAATTCAAACACTACCAGTGGCTTTCTATTAAAGAGAATACTAATGGACAATAAAAATAAATATGAACGGATTGAGTCCAATTCAGAGGCCACAAGTCAGTCCCCACAACTATCTTTAAATGTTTAAAAGTTTCATTCTTTTTTGAAATAAACATATTTAAACATTGCCAAAAGCTTACTGCTTGCCCCACGTGTGCTTCAAATATTTTAAATGACGGAACAAACACTGTGTTGTATGAACTGCCTTTTGAATTTAAACAACGGAGTATTATAAGTATAAAACTATAAAGGCACTAAACCATTCCCTTCCCTATTAAAATGAAATAATTTTTCATTAGAGGGAAAACAAATGCTAAATGTACATGCAACTGCAGTGTTCAGACTTACCAATCTCGCACGAAGATTTTATAGTTCTGAAATTGGTGCCTGACTTTGGGAGGCTACTGGGTCTACCTTACTCTGTTATTTTATGAGAAATACTAAAAAAGTACTAAGAACTCCCTAAATCACAGAAGTTCATTCATATTATTTCAAAGGACACAAGATCACAAGAGATTCTCATCACAAGAATTCAGAAAAGATCACTTCAGCTGAAGACTTATTTATAGTACATCTATCAAAATAAAATGGTTTGTGAAGACTACCTAAATCGCCACTTATTTCTGTACAGGAGCTCTTTTAGATAGATGTTGCTGCTACCATCTGTGTCATATGTGCAAATGAGATTTTAGAACAATAAAATCATAAAAATGGAATCAAATCATAACAAATCATAAAGTTGGCTTAAATATTAAAATATAAGAAATAAATTCAGATTTTTTTTTAATAATCTGTTGCTGAGATTCTTATGCTTTTAAATGTAACAAGAAACTGTGGTTTAAGGCAAAAAAACCCCAACCAAACAAAAAAATAGCTCTTACATTTGCAAGAGCTGACAACAAAAAAATCAGGTTTTTGGGTTTGTTCTCTGCCCATTTCTCCCTGGCAAAATACGAGAGACAAAAACTTCCTATTTGGATTTCTGCATTTGCCGAGTTTCAGCATCCGTGCAAGGACGGGAACGACTTTCACACACATTGATACGATGCACAGTTGGATCCTTTATTATCCCGCTTGTGCGGTTATATACATTTACCATATCTGCACAAGCGATCACGCTTATTCGGATAGGCTACAGACATAAATCACGCACTGTTCACACGCCCCACATTTCCTTATGATTGGTAACTATGCACTAACGCCAATAGCAACAGACTGCCTCCACGTCCTTGAACACATCTTGTTTTTGCTAACTCACACCATGTGCACTATCAGAACTTTCTCAATGGCTATTCTTAGCTGTCTTTTCCAGCAGCCTGTTCAGTTATGCTGTTTTGCTTAAGCGGCCTAGTCGTGTTAATTCTCAAGCTACATCGAACCCAACATACATTATGAAGTGTTTATACACAGATGTCTCCCATCTTACCATTTCCACTACTTGTATTACATGTCAAAACTAAAGCAAAAAATTGTTCCTATATTGGCCTATAAACCAATATTGCACAAATTGGATTACCTTCCTCCTTTTTTCCTTCTCATGAGCTATATAGTTATGTGTGGGAAAGAAGTACTCAGTTATAAACCTTCCTTTAGGTTCCGACATTCAATGAATGAATGAATGTAGCCTATAGAATATTTCCAATATTGTGATCACTTTCTTTTTAAGACAGCTGGTGAGGGCAAAACGTAGCCCTCAAATCACAAGTTAGATTCCACTAGCAGAGGCGTTGCAGAAATTCAATTGTCATTCTCATTTTCAAAATGGTCCTGCAAGCCTTCAACAAAGCATTCTCAGGGGTAAAGCATTAGATTGCAATTTTAGAGACTGCAGTTATGACACAGATTTCATATGTGATCCATGATGGCCACCTTAGCTTTCCCATAGCCAAACTCCTCATCATTAAAAAATAAAAAATAAAAAATCAAACATTTCTTTCACTTTCTTTTCTACTTAGTTTTATTTTTCTCATGTCTCTTAAAGTTTACTTAACTGGGGTCCTAATCTTTTCTGAGGTCAGGAAGTGTTATAATTCAATTAAGTTTGAAAAATATGGATCTCTAGAGAAGGTATGGTTGATATCAAAAGTCCTCTTCCCTAGACCTGTACATTAATTCCTCTTTTCTGCAAACATTATTTTCTCATTCTGTTAAGTCATCATATAAAGTACCACAGTCACCTAAAGCCAAAAATGACAGATGATAATGGGTGATAAATTCTGCAATGCCGAAGAGGAAGCAGCACTGAGTAGAGCTCACTGAACTGTACTGCAACGTACCTGCTGCAATTGCAAAGGAACAACGCACAAGATAACTACATGAATAAAACTTCTACAATTAAATCCACTTCATCTGAGGTTTTTGGAATCATATTAGTATTCAGACTGAGCAAGGTAAATATTGCTGCAATGAGAGGCAGTTATTCCAAGCAAGTATTCTCTGCACTTTTTTTCTTCGAAGTACTCTTCATTAAAGACCAATGAATAATAATGAATAACTTTATAGTATTTATATAACAAAAAAACCTGCTGTGGCAAAAGCAGCAAAAGTGATAACAGCATAGCATTTACTAACCCACGCCACTCAGATTAATGAATTCTGTACTATTGAACTCCCTCACTTTCTCAGGTCTATTCTTCAGTTTTCTAGCAAGTACCAGCATTCCCCAAATAAAACCAAGTTGTAGATTAAAAAATAAGCTAAAGGAGATTTTTCTTTACACAACACAGTTAAGTCATGGAACTTTGTGTCACTTGAGATTTATGACAAAAATTTACCTATGTCAAAAAAAGCATCTGGAAAAAAATACAACAAAAGTTATTAGCTGTAAATAGTCTGAAACACACACTAATGAAGATTAGGAGATTTTTATTCCTTTTTTAAAACCGTCATAATTTACTTGGTTTACCTTCTACTCATCTCTATAAATTTGTCATTGGCCATTGTTCGAAACAGGACACTGGAGCAGACGTATCTTTGGTCTCACACAGTAAGAATATTCTTTTAGTTTTACCGAGCATTACTTCATCTACTTCATCTTGACCTTTAACGACTTACCATAATCATTAGCCCTGCTATTTGTTCACGACTTTCAGTGTTTGGGATATATTTTCTCTTTGGGCAACATTTTCCAAATACGTAATACAATCGCCCTTCACAATTGTTGATTTATGATCCTGTCAGCATGCAGCACACCATTCTTTAAATATTCTGTCTCATTTTCATACACAGCTTCTCTAAACAGATCAGTTATTTCCTGAAGATCTTTCTTCATTCAATGGACTTTCTTTTTGTGTTTTCATTACCAACTATCATGATAGCTTTTCAGGCTTCTGAACTCAATGTCATCTTTTTGTCTCCTCTATTACACTTTTTCAAGTTCCTCTCCTCTAAATTGTATCAATTTTTCCATTTCAGTATCTGTTGAAACAGATTTGATGAAACGGTTCCTTGCCTCAACATTCATATTTATTAACAGCCCTTAAGTACAGCTTGATTATCTCTTGTCTTAATGTCTTTCTGCCTCTCGAAATGTCACTGCTGAAATAGTCTCCCTTGAGAAAGAGAGAACAAATCAAGCTTTTGCCAATTTAAATTATGTAATCAAATGCTTCTTCCCCTGTGCCCAGGTGTAAATGGTTAGCCAGCAGGAACAGAGAGTTACTTGACTATTTTATATGCTCTAAATGTCTTTTGCCTCATTGATATATCATGTATCTTTTTGGTCAGACAGAGGAAGAAAACCCACAAATTCCTAAAATAGAATTAGGTGTGTTGTGGTAAAGACACATTGACAGTGCTCACATCATACAATACACTTGTATTTACATTCCATTTCCAAGTATGAAGATAAGGGAAAAAAAACCCCTACAGATTTCATTAACTGGATACGAAATATTACTTTTGAATGTTCCAGAAGCAGTAAAAACACCTTTTTCTTTTCATATAGGCAAATATTTATTTTGAATGTGCTTCCTCCTGCTACCATTTTTTTTTTTTTTTTTTTACACATAACACTCCATGTTTATGCAATGAGAAGAAAAAAGGTGGGACTTATAACTCTTACTGTAACTACTTCTAAGGCAATTTAGTACTTCTGTGAGAACGTTTGACAATGCTTTGTAATGCCATTTTTTCTAATCTTTTGTTGATACATGCCCCATTCAAAAGTCAGTCTATGGTTTATGAGAAATTTTTTTTTTCTTATTTTAATTGTAGTAAGTTATGACATCAACAACCACCAACCAGATTCACTAAGCAAAAACAGAAAGCTCTTCTCAAAATGAAAGCTATAATCAGAGAAATGCTTATTTAATGTCACTGTAGAAATACACTCAGAAAGAAGATACTTACTCATTTGTCTCCAAGGACTTCCAAAACATACATCTTACATGGAGAAGTTTATGACCACTTTAACTCTGGTAGTGTTAAGCAAGATGTGTAGCAGTAATTCTCACCTCAGCAATCATTCTGTTGGTGTCTCCCATGAAGAGCAAGTTTAAGGCTTCCTCTTCACTCGTTGCTTGCTGAAGAGACAAGTTTTTCAGATGAATGTTCTGATCAGCATCCTCCATTATTGTCACTTTTCTACATGAAAAAAAAAAGAAAACTAGAATTGTTGTAAGGTGATCTTTGTTCCACACTTTCATTTCGATTGCTCCTAAAAGGTGACATCTAAAAACCAAACCCAGTCATAATAAAAGAACTGAAAACATGAAGAGTAAATGATGCATATTAAAGGAAGTGGTGTTTTTTGTTTGTTTTTTTTTTTTTTTTTGTTTGTTTTTTTTTTTTTTTTTTTTTTTTTTTTTTTTTTTTTTTTGTTTTGTTTTGGTTTTTTTTACTTTCTGTCACCTCCTTTTTAGTTCTTTATTGCAAATCTCCAGATAGAAAAGGAATATATACAAATCTATAACTATTAGAGAAAGCTTTGGGATACTTTTTTTTAAATGATATATAGTAAAATCTCAAGAGCAAGAGGTTAGATGAATCATCACAAACATGTAATAAGTAGGGGTTTGTTTGCCATTACCACAGCTATTTAAGGACAAATGATACATACAGCATACCATAATCTCGATGAACAAACAGGCATGGAATATTTCAGAATCAACACATCTGCAGCCAACATGTTTCTAGTAATTTTGCATTTGTCAGGATTATTTATCTTTTCATTTGTCTCAAGCGGTAATAACTACAAATGTAAATGATCCCTTTAATTAAAAGCAAGAAAACAGAATGATTTTATTTATTTCCACTGAGGTTAGAAATGTTCTTAATTGTACTTCTTTAAGCCTGAAAGTTCAGGAAAAGGAAGTTAGATGGAAGTAGTAAGTATATGGCAAAAGCTCCAGGAAAGCTACTAAATATTACTGAAGCTCCTTTTCACTTCTCTAAACATTGCTTTTATGTAAGAGTTTCTTCTTTTGATCAGGTTACTGAGAGTTAGACTTTATTTGCTTTACTGGGTAGCCATTAGGGTCTCCTAAGTGAGGACGTTCTGGAGTATTCAACGTGGAAGCCATGTAGTGGCATCACTGGATTTGGAAAACTCCCAAAGTGAAGACTGTTTAAACTGAAGTACACTAATTCTGAGGATGAATGACATGTCCCTCATGGTGAATTGAATGATCTGAGACAACTTACAACAAGTAAACTAGAACTTTTTCAAAAGTTAGAAGGGTTTTTTTCCCTGTCACTATAGATAATACTTTATATATAAACATATACACATATAGGTATACTTGTATATATATATTTTTTCCATGTTCTTCGAGATTAACCACAAGAGGGAGTATTGGGCTTGAATTTTTATCTCTAGATCGTTCTTGTTAATTACTCCAAGATGCTTCAAAACTGCACAGGTTGTGTTTTGTGCCGCTTTACTTGTCTTTTTTTTCCCCCAGAAATCGAGCAGCTAAGCAGCATTCCATAATGTTACTCTTAAGTATTAGGGAAGTAGTTCACCATGACTCTGATGGTCAAAACATTGGAATAGATATACAGAAATCATTTGAACACATTGCAATACACTTGCTATTTTCAAGAAAAAGACACACGTAAAAGTACACACAATGCTTCCTTAGCAGTCATAACAGTTGTTTTTCCAAGTATGACTGCCTCCCACTTACAGCCTTATTTTCGTGCTGTAGGGTAAGACAGCACTAGCACAGTCACGAAACTGTGCTTCTCCCACTCAGAACACAAACCCAAAAGCATAATTCTGCTCTTGCATAACAATGTTTTTGGTACTTTTCAAGTTGTATTCTGCCCACAATTCCATCTGTGTGTGCATCACATGCTAAAGCCCAGAGTGGTTCTGATTATAGTATGATGCTTTGACCAATTTTAATATTTTGAAGTCGCATGGTAAGAATCATCTACCTCTTTTTATAGTTTAGGAAAACAATGTTGTTTTACTATGCACACTTGGCATAGTGTTTAAAATTGTAAGGATCTTTTCAGACTACATTTTGACCAATGATTATAAATAATTTCCAGACATCAAAGATGTTAGTTTGGACGAAAAGCTCTGGAGGATTATTATATCAGAGAGGAGACAGCGAGCACATCACAAACCAGTGACAGCAGCTATTAGGAAGATTTCCAGATGAAAGTCCAAATCTGCACATCTTGAGAGGCATCTATCAAAACTTCCTCAGAAAGAGGAATGACAACTATTTGTTCTATAGTGCTATAAAGTCAGTGTATAATATGACAATAGATTTCTATAGAACATTTGCTATATTAGTGAAATCTTTGCATTTCATAGACCTAACTTGGATCTTGGAGTGGAAAAGCTCTGTGAAGTTATCCATAATGACTAAAAGAAGGCAGAGACAAGGTTTTTCTTTATAAACACAAAATCTTTCCCATTTGACTTGATGGATAGAATTTATAGCTCACTAGGAAACCTGCAGGATGGGATCAGCCTTTTTTATACTGTTATTAACTCAGCTCTTTTCCCGCATGAACTGATCTGCCACTAATGCAAGACAGCTTTACACATTGAATGCTTTCATTTACGACATTCCTGTTACTGGCAAACAATGAAGTTGAAGCTTCCTTTGATTAATTAGTACCATCTCATTAATTTGTGTAATATAAATTGAAAAAAAACCCCAACTTACAAGACCTTGGAAAACAAATGACAATTTTAAAAATCAAGTTTCCTATGAGTATATCTGTCTCTAGGGTTTAGGACTGAAGAAATCTAAAGTAATCTTAACTTTATAAACATTTAAAAATTAATCATAATGATATAAGCAAATCATATAAGAGGATACCTACCTTCTATGACAATAGACTAGCAGAATATAGTGATACTACTACAGCATGAGGAGGAGACTATACAGGCAGTAATAAATTTAGGAAAAGGATAAAACAGAAAAGCAGCAAGCATGCATCTTGGAATCTGTCCAGAAGAACAAAATAAATTGATAGATAACTATAGCTAACCTTTGTGTAAAGTATGCAAGGAGCTTTAAGTTTTAAGAAAGAATGGCCAAGATCATAATTTTATGTATCATCCAAAAAAAACCCAACTATCTTTCAGAAGTATAGCTCCCTGAATACCACATCAGAGGACAAAGTCAACACTGATTCAAGAGGCAAGGTTACAAAGGTATTCAGGCACCAGCACAGCTTTCAATAGCACAGAGATTTGGTTTTCCATTTAAGTATAAACCTAGAGCATAATCTCCTTAGCTTGTGAGACGTGACAGAACTATGAGATGAGTAAATAATGGAGCAGGCTGTTCATGTCATATTGTGACAGGAAATCCTTTCCACTGTCTGCAATGAATTCTACATGTGAGAAGAAAAACAAAGTTTACCTGTTCTACACTTTATGGACATAGGAGCATATTTATACTGACAGAGAGACTGTTGCACATTTGATTCGTGTGATCCACATACCAGTGAACCTGAGCAGGTGCAGCCTGAGCTGGGCTGCACACACAGTGTGGCATTCAGCCCTGTGCCGTGCTGCACAGAGCCCTTGGAGGCAGGATAAATTCAGCCAGGTCATTGTAACAGAAGAGCTCCCACCTGGTAATCACACCACCTGCGTGGCCTTGCTTTTATCAAAAAATGTCGGGAGAAGTTCTCATGAGAACACCCTTTAGAAATGGAGCTGTTTTCTTCTAAGAAAATTATAGAACAGCTCGAATGATGCAAAGGGAGAGCCTCTCTCCAGGGACAGGATCTGTGCTGCTCTGCACTGTGTGCCATGGGTAAATCCATTCAGGCTCCATCGACCCTGCATGAACGGGGGGCCCAGGATATGATGAGATGTAAGATTTACTTGCCGTGAATATCCCACTTCTTATTCTGTTTTATTAAAGCAGCTATCTTATCAAGCCTTTTGTTGTTGGGCCTTTCTTACCGAGATGTGGAAAGAGCCC